AGTAGAACCTGCTGTAAAAGGCATGTCTTTTTAATACAGCGGAACAATGTGAAGCTTTATTAGCCTAAAGCTTTTAAGACTATTACTATTTAAAAACATTTTTATTTTCTCTGATGCCACCCTCTCTTTTCCCTCATATTCTTTTATCAGTAAAAAATAAACCCAGTAGGTGGCAGTACTGAAATTTTTAAACCACAAAAACCAGACCAAATGTTCCCAGATCTTATAGAAGTCCAGTCACATGATCAATGATCTGAAATGAAAAGCCGCAGTTAAAGAGCCAAAAAAAAAAATCTAAAGTCTGAGCTGAGATTTTCCATTATGTCTGCATTAGTATTCAAACATAAATAATGCAGGCGTGCTTGTTGACATCTCATTAATTGATAGGATCCGCCAAGCCTGCTACCTTCAACCAGCCTGACACGGATAAATGAGTAAAGTACGTGCCGCCATGAAAATGGAGGCTAGCACACGTGTACGCACACACTCGCACAGGAGGAACAGAGAGGACTTCATTGATTTTTTTTACTCGTTAAATCAGATATAAACCCTAATATATACAGTAATAATAAAATTTACAGTAATAAGCAAGAAAAAAAAAAAGAAATTAGACCTGAACATTGCAGCCCAGCCATCTGGATGTAGTTCCAGACGGTTTAGCAGAGATGACGGTAGAGCTGTGATATATACAAACAGTTGTTGTTTATTAAGAACAACCTGAACGGAGGCGGAGCAGGAGTCACTGAGGGCTGCAGCGCTAACCATGTGAATAGTATTTATAGTTTTTTTACTCTAACGTATACTGTATATCGTATGCTTTGACCCTTTCACAGCTCGTTGTAATATATGCCGTGTGTTGTGTACAAAGCTGGAGGTACATAGTTGGATATGACAGAAGGTGAAATCTATCATTTTCTTCCTAACGTCACCATTTGAATCCTTCATCTTAGAGTGTAAACTGATTAAAAGCATGTTGTCACTGTTCAAAGGGCGTTTGACTTATATTGGCTTCCAGGACGTATTCAGTCCAGTTTTATCATTGTATCTTTGTCAAATGTTGAGTTGTGTTACTCAATGTAACACGAGTTGTGTTACATTTAAACCGTTCCAGTTTTTCAATACCTGGACCATGAACAAGTATAAAACCAGTACTGACATCATATTTTTAAATGTTGAATTAAACCTATGAAAAATAAAATACTTTTTCAGTCCTTAGACGAAGCAGTGACGCAGGCTGTGACCTTTTGCAGGGAAATGGATTTGTTATATAAATAAATAAAACTTACCTTGTTATGCCAGAGGTAGTCTGTGATGTCAACCAAATATGTGATCCATCCATCCGTCCATCCATCCGTCCATCCATCCGTCCATCCATCAGTGCTGCCTGGTGTTCCTTGTTCACCTCTGAAAAAGACCAAAATACAAAAACCAGATTATAAACCCTGGCTAATTCCTATTTAAAGCTTTGACAAAAAAATCTATTATTTTGAAAGAAGTCAATCACAAGTCATAAAGCAAAGGGCTGTAAGTCATACATTGAAGTACATCACAGGTCCTACCTAATAATTATAACATATATTTGATGGAAATGTATTATTTTTTTCCCTGACATTTGCTGGTCCTGTATTTACTTGCAGTACACCTGCAGTCCAGCCATGTTTCCTTCTTCCCCTTCATCCCATCCAGATAATCACAGCCTGAGTTCCTGACCTACTTTCACTTGTCTTTCCATTCATGAAACAGCCTGCTCTTTCATTCCCTTTGTTGCTCCCTCACCAGCCCCCTCCACCTTTGCTTCTATTTTCAAACAGACAACTCATGACTTCTGGCTAGGTCAGACTTAGCTCTCTGCCCAAACATGGACAGCAAAAGCAGAAGTGAATTTATTTTTAAAAAGTCAGGTTGAATCTCCTTCATGGTAATAAAATCACTAAAAAAAATGAAGACAGCAATTAGCCAGAGAAAACCAACACACAAAGTAGTAAAACATCGGAGCAGACTGAGGATTTAAACCTTGTACGGCCATTAAACCACTCGTCCATCGTGTGACGGCGTTTGTTTTTCATTTCATTTCATTTCATATACTGAGGCAGGACAGGTGCATCACACCTTTGAAGTGTTTCAAATCACCTGCCTTCTCTTCATGGTAAACAGACAGAACACAACAAACTGACGGACAACCACAAGAAATATGTCGTTCCTGTGCCAAATTATACCAAGGACACCAATTCCCTGGTACCCAGCATGCAATTCCAGTCTTTTTCCAACAAGGAGAAAGTGTTTTCGCTGGTACACAGTGAGATTATTTTCACTGTTATATTGAAATTATATCGTAAATAATGCTAAAATCACTGTAGATTTGTGAATATTATTAAAGAATTTGGTTCCTGTTGACATGGAGTTTTCAGTAACATTTACTGCATAATGTTCTGTATAAAAGTAGAATGCATTACTGACATGATTAAAAACATGACAGTAAATCACTGCAACTAGAAATAAAATGTTAGAAATGTATTTATTCAGACAAAGCTGCCAAGAAAGAAATCAACAGAAATATTAGTTGTGATCTTTTCACAGCTAAATGGTTAAACCAGAGCAACAGAAACAAAGTTGAGTATTTAAATATAACCCTGTTTGTTTGTTTATAATAATATCATGCAACTTTGTTATTCAAGAATTTTAATTAGAACAAAAAAGTAGTCCTTTTTTATCACTCTAGTACTGTGAAGTAGTACGCAGTTTTTAAAAGGTTGGTGACCCCCGGTGTGGCGCACAGAAATGCATCATAATTGTCAGTGCATCTGAAACGGAACACTTTAAAAAAGAAAGCTCTCTGGGCCAAGAAGAACACTGTAGAGTTCTGTGAGTCAACGTCAACAGAAAAAACCTACTGAATAAAACACGACGGGACAACAAACCAGAACAACATGAGATTTTTCTTTTCTTTTCTTGACTATGGCGTTCTGCTAATGCATGGAGACGACAGTAGTACACAAATACTACCATGTATTCCTGAGGCCTCTGCACTCTGTCTATCAACCCACACATATCAAACATGCATTTAAGAACAAGCACACTATAAGTGTCATTTTTAGGATTTCCAAAGATGGATAACGACTAAAAGATTCCCAGTCCTAGAAAATCCAAGCTTCCTCGTGTAATGCCTCCTCCAAAGTGCTCCGACGTGCCCCAGGGGAGGTGTGCTCCACACTTTGAAACCTACTGCAGTACATGATCGGCACTGTAAAAATTCAACAGACCTGTCACATATCCAAAAGTCTGTCGGCAGCGTCAGGTGCACCAGCGACATAAACAAACTCAGTGTAATGGAGCACACCTGAACACAGTCTGAAAACACACAACTTTGAACACAACTTTAATTTAGTCAACTCACTTCACAGCCATTTAGCAGCTCTGACACGCGGCTGCTTTTACCTCATGCCAGCCCTAATATTCTGATTAAAGAGTGCTCTTAGCAGCAGCGTGAACACCACCGCAGCAGCATCGCCTCTCAGCAGTACAGCTCCGCCACTGAAGCATGACAATGGGCTGATGAAGCTTTCAGCAGCGCAGACAAATAAAAGGAGGCGCTAAAACCAATGAAAGACATCCACGTGTGCGAGAGAGATGAGCGACGAACCAAAAAATCATTGGCACAGGCACAACCTGTGTCTCTGCTCAGATATACCCAGCAGTGCACACCTCCACCTGCCAGTGGAATTCTGTCAGCGACAACAACCTACATGCTCCGCGAGCCATGCACCGCAATCTACACGCCACCTGCTGTATCCTCCACTCAGAGATATAAGGAATAAAAATACACCAGCTCCCCTCACAGCTGCACATCGGAGATAAGTTAGACACAGAGTCATGAGGGGGAGGAGGAAAAAAAAAACTTTTTTTTTTATTTAAATTTGAAGTGTGGAGATTCACAGATGAAGAGGGGAAAACGGAAAGTGAGAAAAAAAAGACTTGGTTTGAAGAGCGGCAATGCAGCACATTTCACTGAACTGGTAATTAAGCTCTCAGGAAAAACGCAAGGTGGAACTTAAAAAAGCAAACAAAGGTTCCCATTTGCATGGAGTGAAAGTTCGGAACTGTTAATAACTGATGAAAGTGAAGGCATCACTCTTAGGTTTTCCAGTCACTGTAGCGACCAGTTAGAGAGTGACTGAACGACAATCTTAGGTCAACCGTCACACCTACGTCTACACTGTCAGTGACACCCACCTGTAGGGGGCTGTCAACCGTGGAGCATTTTGAATAACACACCCACCAATTTATCGTTGGCTCTCTCCGTCTCTCAAACATGGGATCAGAGCCGCCTCTGCTCTTCCCAGCTCTCTGCCCCGTAGAGGGCATGCATGAAGACATTGTTTATGGATTATGGATTATGGATTAAGAAGGCTGTGTGGTGTTCCTCTTGGAAGAGCAGCATCAATGGCTGGAGAAGCAGGAGCTGGTGATGCTGCTGCTGCAACCTAAACAACGTGCTGAGCAGATAAGTGAAGGTCAACAGCTGTGGAGAGGTGAAGGAGTTTTTACTGAGAAGTGTGTGAATCGATGACTGTCTCCAATTAGTGAGATTTGATTGAGGATGACCTCGTGTCCCTGTGCTATGACACGGGGACATAAGACGGACAACGACCAGGGAAAGAAAGCTCGTCCTTGAGGAGACCATTGATTGAGGCTACATCATTGATTTGTTTTCTGACACAGACAAATTCATCGATTCCATTATATTTTGTGAGATCTTGGATCTCAGCCATGGAACCCACCACAATTCTGTTCTCTCCTCACCTCCGTCTATCCATTTACAGTTACAGTTATGCATTTAGCAGACGCTTTTGTCCAAAGCAACTTACAGAGGAGGATTAACGTTATCAAGCCTGTGGTTCCTCTGGGAATACAAACCCAGGACTCTCTGCTCCCTGCTTCTGAGGCCGGCGTGCTAACGGCTACAGAACCACCATCTATCCAACATCTCTGTAGAACCTCACAGTTTATTTCCATAAATGCTTATGTCAACGATATCGACACTGAGAGGAGGAGACTGTGTGACCTCACCAATTTGTGGAGGAGGCTTCACCCAGTGGCAAGGCAGTAGTCGTGGGTGAGGGTCACTGATGGAGGGTTAACAAGAGCCAGGCTGGAAAAACTGTACATCGGTTCTAACAATAGACTAACAAGAACAATAACAACAACCGTAGGTTTCTTCGTCCGTGGCTGACGGAGCCACTGTGGACTCAACCCTCTGTGTAACACCCGGCAGACCAAACCGTCTGTAAAGACTTTCTCTGGTTTCTGGAGTCAGTCGAGGGACAGACAACTGAGAATGAGTTGAATTAGCTCAATGGTGGATATTCAACAAACAATTATTTGAAAAAATGAATGATTGAATCTCAGGTTCCAGATAAAACAAATACTGATAAAAACAAATGCACAAACAAAGAAACCTTAGGTTTGTCCCTGAAGAAAAAAGCCAGAGAAATAATCCAATCACAACAATAACAACATCAAATTTAAGACACAAATGCTCCTTTAAGTTTTCTTTACGTGAAAAAAAACAGGAGGTAACATGAAGGTAACTGGACCCAGAACTCTTGTTTTAAAGTCTGTATGCTTTTGGTCTCAGGGTAGAATTTCTGTTACATAAAATAGTGCTGCACTTACAGCAGTTTGTCTCCGCTCGGGGAATTGGGGATGTTCTCTGCAAAGGCTCTGTGTCTGAGTTAGAAAAAAAACGACAATTAGTGTGATAGGAGGTGTGTGAAATATGATTTTACCATTTTATTCTCAAAATGAATTTACCCTCTGAGGGAGCTACGGTGGAGCAGCGGTGGAGCAGCGGTAGCACGTCTCGCCTGTCAGACAGAAGGTGCTGGGTTCTAACTACTCCCACCTCACCACCCTGGTCAGGAGGGCTGCGTCAGGAACGGCATTTGGTGTAAAACTCTGCTGAAATACCAAGTGGACGACTGCTGTGGTGGCTGTTAGAAAAGCACAGGAGAAGTTTTGGTCAATTTATTTCATATTTTGTTGATATTTATTTCAAGCACTTTCCTAAATCTAAACATCAAATGCACATTTTCCACTGTGAACATTTTTATGTTAGTAAAAATGGGCATGGTTTATTTCTTTCAATATTTTTCATACTTTTTGACACAAACAATATTTCCTGGGGATAAAGATCGAACACAATTACTGTCGTCTGGTTTAATCCAGTAGTTCTCAAAGTAAGGGGTGGGCCCCCTCTTTGGGGATGCAGTTCAAGTTCAATATTCATTTTCTTTCATACAGTGGTGGAAGAGACCTACCTACAAAAGGAGGGCACTGCAGAAAAGGTTTGGGAACTTTAGACTAAGTTAACCTCATTGTGCTTTTTTGGTTTTTCTGCAGTGTAAAAAGCATCATTATTTCTTTGGCTCGATTCAAATACCTGAGCACAAACATAACATTCAGGCATCTCTAGTAAAACTCTCGGTGGTGATCCTTACTGAAGATGCTGAAACCTGGTCGAGAACTAAAAATACTCATGTTAGCTAAGAGTATCTTGGTAGGATTGTCTTCACATCAGATCTGAGGTAACAGATCGGATAAATGTATCCGACCAATACGTTTTTCTTCTTCTCTTTCCAGCCCCTCCCACCACCCCCTTCCCCCTCCATGTCATAAATATCTGTGTTATAAATCAATTTCACCCCCTCCTCGTGGGTCACTCAGTATGTAGGTGCTGTGACAGACTGGGCTCACGCTCAGATCATATATCCTCAGAGTAAATTATAACTTTTACAGTTGCAGTCTGGCCGGGGCTGGATTGGCTGTCAGGCCTCCTAATTTCTCTCTGCCTCGGTGTAGATTTTTTTCCTCTGTCATTCTCTCTTGCTGCTTCTCTCCCTCAGGGGAGCCTATTTGTAACTCAGAAAATATGTCCTTCCAGGTGTGTAGCCACTGTTTCTTTTTTGCTCCGAACAATTCTGGATTAACTCTGCTCCATGACCCGCTTCAACATCAAAGAATGGCTGTCACATTAATTTAAACATTAGCATAATTGCAATGATGAAGTGGACTAGCACTGAAGAGTGGCTGACTGAGTTTCCTCAGTGGATTTCCCTGTAAAACCACTAAAGTCGGATTTGCAAAAGGCCCTGATGAAAGCTGTACTCTACGCAGTACTGACAGGTTTTTACTTTTATTTTACTGTGATTGGACTGTTTTTTGCTTCCTACTTACATCAGACAAAATCCATTTCATCAAAAAAGTAATTATTATTAATCTGGATTAATGTACTGCTATCCTGTGATTAATCTGATGAAAACATTGACAGCCCTAATTAGAAATGTGTTTCAATCTGATTGATTATCAAATGTATTATCACAGGTAAAGCCTGAGTTTTGACAAAATATATTGACTTCTAATTTGTGCAGTCATCTTTCTACATCTACCACTCTGACTCTTCTTACCCCTCCTCTCCCCTCTTTCAGCCCAACCCCTCTGGGAAACACTGCAGTACTCTAAAACCTTGTACCTCCAAACTTTGAAACTTTCCAGATTCAAAATCTTCACAAGTTCATTTGTACACATACAACTTCAGTGGAACGTAACTCCGAGTCGCTCCACGGGCTACTGTGAATATTCAACTTAAGTAACACTGAAAAATACTAAGAATATCAATTCACAAAGAAGTCAAACAGGAATAAGTGCAGTCCAAAGAAAAGAAAAACACACCATGACTGCTCATTAACTGCTTTTAAATACGCAGAAGTAGAAATTAAAAAAATATTAAAGTGACAAGTGACAATTTCTTTTTCAACAAAACTGCCAGTAATTGCCGATGATTAGAATGCAAAAAAAATACTTTTGATTTTCAGCATCCCTCCATCAGACAGATGTATTTGTGCAGGTATTGTAAACGATAAAAAAAAAAAAACACACACTTAAGATGAAGTACCTGCCTGTCTGGGATCTTAATGCCATCGTAAAGCTGTTGCTTTACACTGAGTTCAGTCAATATCCTGCTGCACTACATTGGTAAGAGAGGTCATTCCAGTCCATTTGCCTGCTGCAAGTTGATGTCCCACTAAAAATAGTCCTGTATTTTTGATGTGATACTCACGCGCTGTACTGTGAGTGAACTAAGTTTGTTGGACGTGGTGAACTTTCTACACTACTTCATCCTTGGATCTACCTGGACCTGATCCTTGGACTTTGTTATCACTGTCACTCTACACCCCAGCGTTCCTGCTCCACTCTCCTCTGGCACAGCTTTACATTCTCATACTGAACATCTCTGCACAGGTTGTGATCCACCAGTGTGCTCATCCATCCACTCTCATACATCACTCTGTATTCTTCCTCATTCCTAAAATAGGGATGCACCACAGCCGTCTTCATCCTCTCCACAAAATCCACCATCCGTCCTTCTGGACCAAACAGCACCTACACAGGACCTCCTCGTTACTTCTGCTCCACTCACCATTATGTCCATTTATGTCCATGCTCATCACTACTCCTCCCCTGTGGGGACACATGATACCAACGTCTGGTCCATATGCACTGACAACATCCAACAACACAGGCTTCACATTTAACACACTCTTCACAGACTGTTGCTTCAATATTAAGACATTCTTTTTCTTATTTAGATCTGAGTTGTGTTTTCCCGTGTATCACTTCTTCCAGCAGCCTGTATGACACCACATTCTAATATAAGGAGTTTCTTCTGGTTTTAGAAGAATTCTAAAAATCTAAAATCGACAGTGACTTTTCCTTAAACTAGGGCAAACAAATGATTGAGATTTCCAACAAGATTATCACAGGGTAGCTGTAGATTAATCACGATTCATTCCAATTAATCGAGGTAACTCAGCATTCCCAAATTTCAGTGTATAGCCAGAAGATGTGGAGAAAAAAAAAGTCTCCCTACGTGCCGGATAACAAATCTTTTCACCAGATACAGTTGGTGGATTTCAGCCATTACTGTGCATCTTGACAGTGACATGTAGAACACGTCATTCTCTCACAATCCATTTGACAATGGTGTCAGTCAGCTCATCAGCCGTAGTCCTACTGTCACTGCCCTGAGCTGTGAGGCAGGGCTGATGCTGAGGCCCCCGCAAACACATGCTGGGCGAGAAGGTGGCGTTTTCAGCTTTGATTAAATGAAAATGTTTTTCCAGTGTGTGTAAATGACAGTATGTGGATGGACGGTGGAATTAAAAGGTTTAGTCTGAACAATCGTTGAGAAAACTAAAATCACAAAAGTTCTTTTAAAGTTCAGATTTTGGACTATTTCATCTGTTGGCATCATTTTTATCAAAAACTAAACCATCAACTTAGTCATGCCTGCTGGTTTACAAAAGGTACAAACTCCAGATACGGCAAAAAAAAAACCAACAGAAAATGAGTTGAAAAAGTTCTACTCTGTTGTTTTTCTCCTCACCCTCATTACGAATGTGTGGGAGAATTCCACCAATCACGACCTTGGCCTCCACGACACACTGGCCTTTGGTGATAAGAGAGAATGACTTCACCTCAACCCTTAGATCAAAGTGCAGGATAGAGGAGGAGAGCAAAAAATAAAGTAAATAAGAGAGAGGACAGAGGACAGAGTCGGACGAAACAAGAAAAAAAAAACCCACCGCTGAGTTTTTCAGATTTAATCTCAGTTTGGAAAGGAATGCAACAGACGTATATACTACGTCAAATGACTGGAGAGACTCCAGGACGTCTGTGACTTCACTGTTAACGTGTTGCACAGAGGAAACTCTGTATCTGCATCTCTTACAGCACGAGATTGTTCTCATAAAAATTTCATCTGAAGGAGACATTACAGCACTCAGTGTAACATTAGCCGTACTGTTTAAAACACATCCACTCTTTGTTGTGTACGTTGACTTGAAGTAGAGATTTACAGCATGTTGGGATATAAAATACATACAGAACTGAAGAAGCCTCGTGGAGGAGAGGGGAAACGTCTTAAGATACAGTTTTCTGGGATCAAAGATCTTTTACTTTAAGTCTTTTAATAGAAGGGAAAGTCAAACACTTAACATGAGATGTGCTGCTGATACATTTGTTGTCAATGTTGATGAGATTGTTCTCTGTGTGGTGATCCATATCTTATTTCAGGATTTCTTTATTATCATTATATTTTATTATTATTTTAGTGTATAAAGAATGAAGTCTTAAATATTGAGCATTTTGTTTTGTATTACACAACAACTACTGTACAAAGAGACATCTTTCATATAGAGGTGCAATATATTTTCCCCCAAAGGTGTTGCTTGGTATCAATAAATTTGTTTTCTTGTCAGATTAATACCTGTCCAGAAATAAAGGCAGAAATCCTAAGGAAAGAGAGTGTGATGCAGAATTTAGAGTTCTGTTAAAAATTAAATGCGACAAAGTGCAGCAAAAGCAGACTGGGTGGAAAAGTAAAATGATATTCTTGAAGCGTGTTCCTCCAAAGACCACAGTTCAGGACTTTGTGTTGAGGCTGTAAATCTGAAACATCTGAACTGCCAGTCTTTAACTTTTTTGTCAAAGTATTCGCTGATAGACTCCAGACCTCTATGAACCACGGCTATTTTAACTATTTTTATTTTAGCTATTTTGACATTTATTTTTACATTGCTGCTAATAAGTTTTTACCTTTACCCTGCAAACTTGGCCCTTAAATGTCTGAAAATACACAAAGCGGGCAACATTAGAAAGGCTGGGTGAAAGGTGAAGAACTTCAAGGAGTCTGTGGCTTTTATCACTGATGGAAGTGGTCAATGTTTATCTTCTTCACTCTGCTTAAAAATATGATTGGGAGTATTTTGTACTGTAAACTTCAGCAGTTTGAAAAATGCAGGATCATACCACATAAATAATCATTTAATATTAACACATTTTACACATTCACACATTTAACTGAACGTTTTAATTTGTCAAAAGAATATAGTTGCCATTTTCGTGTTTCAATGTTTATGGTTCCATACGTTTGGGGCGAGGCCCCATAGGGAGGTGCAGAGCTATGGCAATGGGGACGCAGCAATTTAAATAAATGTTATATTTTAAGATTGTGCCCCATTGGGGAAACTGCACAGATTTATAATCCTATTTGCATTGTTCAGTGATAACAGCAACAGTTATGTAGCCATTAGAGATTAAAATGAACTTCAATGGAGATTTGAAGAAACAGACGTTAATGTGTCCACTTGAAGGAAACCATTGTTTACATACTGTGTGTGTTCACTGTCAGCTGCAGTCCATATCTGATGTGATGTCACACACAGCACATTAAATGTTACAGAACCACTGGATTAGTGGACATGAAACATAGCCATCGACTCCCAAAGTTTACAATATGCACAAACTCCTTGTTGCTTACTCTGGAGATATACAACTACACTTTAGGGCAGATACACCCAGACTAGATTTACCTCCCCCTGGTGCAATTCCCTTCTTCTTTCATCCCAACATTCAGCTCATCTATCTTTCTTAGTCTCTTTCTTTATCTTACTCTTTCTCTCTCTCTTTCTCTCTCTCTCTCTCTCTCTCACACACACACACACAGACAGAAAATGCATTACACGCAATGACACACACTACATAACTCATCTGCAACTGTCATCCTCCCAGGGATTTATATCTTAAGAGAAGGGTAGATTGAAAAGGTGAGATCAGTCGAGCATGCTAAAGGAGACAGCTCCAATAGGAGCAAGGGATGATGCACGATCTGTGTCATTCCTTCCACTATTTTCCTCATCTTACATCAGAAACCATGACATCCTGTCCAGATGACTTTCAAATTCAAGTTGTGCTCCACTGAATACTTTGAATTAACACGACTGCTCCATTCTGTTGCGGTTAATGCCGTCCTGTCGTGCACGGACGCACAATTAAAAGAGGAGTCTACTGTTGTGTGACATTCCAGTATTTTTTTTTAATCATCGAGGACATGCTTAATCTAACAGTTGAGAGTCACACCTAATAAATGTGACGTGCCCTTTTCACTCCTACTCTGTGTTTTTATTTGTACACATCAAGGAAAGGTCTGATATCAGAGGTAGTGAAAGGCTAAGTGGACAGATCAGAAGACGAACTGGATCATGTAACTCCTTAACTCAAAACATCACAACCACTAGAACTGTTTCAAACAGTTCTAGGTCAACCAGGCTCCAGTTTAGTGGCGTTCCATACTGACATATTTATTATTCACCCAGAAAACACAGGACGAGTGTAACCAAAACTGATACTTTGAATGAACTGAGTTGAATCATCAACCTGGAGCTAAATCTGAACATTTTTTATGTCTTTACGGTGTTGTATTTATTTTTTATTTAGATTCATGTATAATAAGTTAGAACACAGCATAGAAGCTGTGAAAATGTTTGCAGACTAACAGACAATTATTTTTTCAGTGTTTCAGTGTTTTCAAGTGTTTACTAAAATTATCATAATAATAAAAAGAAAATATCTCTCTTTATTGTACTTTTTTGTGGATGATTGTAATTTTCTTTTCTTTTATCTAATAATTAAAACAATTTTCCTTATACAGTGAGTGCTGAGGAAATAAAACAATAATTATATTTGCGGCACATCTGCGATTCCTAGTTTAAACATAGCTTAAATACACTAAATGTAGAGGAAAACATTCAGCGTTTACACAAACCTGTATTTAAATTCTATTATATGAATCAATAAATGTACCTTTTATTTATATTCAGCAAAGCAGAACCATAAGAACCTGCTCTCTCAAAAGAGCTGAAAATCCCATCACTACAATGTACATCCAGTGAAGGATAAACCTTCCTCTCATGTTTCTTTACACCAAGAGTTGCCTGGCCATACTGATGTCAAACTGAAGAATAAAAGTAACACTTTGGTCGAGCCTCAACTTTCGGCTGCCACTTCAAGTTGTAAATACAACTCTATTAAACCGTTGCTACTGCCTCGCCGTTGATGCTCAACTGTACGTTCAGTTATGAGGATTTGAATGAGTCTGTCTGAAATCCATCTCTTAGAGCCTGTGATGTAGCAGTAAACCATACTGATGGAGGAGATAATGTGTTTGACAGCCCTATACATCATTCAGACTTTATGATCAGCTGGCAGTAAAACATATGACGTCCGTCTCCGTGCCGAAAATCCACAGTGGAATACAGGCACTGAAAAAAGATGGCCGTCTGATAACATTTGGTTTCCGTGTACTCTACTGCACTTAATAAAGTTTAACAGAAGGATTAAATATAGACATGATTATAAGAGATGCAATTACTCAATAACACTCACCATAAGGGCTTACACATCAGCTGCTTTTGACACTTCACTCGTCATCCCACAGCTCAGAACAAACACTGTGAGTCATCTCTGGCAACCCTGCAGGGTGGAGACGGAGTCAAACATGAATTGTGCATTTAAAATAGAGCCTCATTAATTTCTTCAAATTTGGTGTCAAAATGTATAATGAAAGGGACTTATTTCACATTTACAACTGGAAACCATTTGGAGAAACATATTAAAAAGCTTTCTGTATTTTGAAAGAATTACCTCTGTGACGCAGCCTTTTTGTTGTGATCCTATCTGCAGACTGGGGCTCAATTTTCACCTCGTTCACTGCCTAAAAGGAGACAACTGTTAATGTGGCCCAGATGGGAGGGAAGCTGCCTACTTCCTAGTATACTATCAGATTGAGGGATACCTCACGTTTACAGTGAGATGTCAAACCATTCTCTATGTTGACCCTAAAGTTGCCATAACTGCTTAGTGTTTTATTGACATGTTCTGACTTGTAAAGATTGTGATCTTAAATAAAGTGCCATGGTTCAGCCGGTGGAGTTTTGGTTTATGCCATTCAAAGAACGGCTTTATTCTGCATAAACATAAAGCGGAGATTGTGGGCCAGATCGATGGAAGACTTCACCCACATTGTAAAAATTCAAACCACATGTTAGACAGATGTTCTCTTAGATATATCAGACATAATCTTAAGGACTTAAGTTAGACTAGATGTTCCTTTTAAGGTCCTTTTTCTTTATCCCCTCTATACATTATGGAGATGTAATGGTCGGCCAACAGTAAAATCATCACATTTTAAGTATAGGATTCTAAGTATTCTAAGTTGTTCTAGCTTTTCTGTATATCAGTGGCCTACCGAGCATTTGTCACCTTGGCCCTCAATCGCGTCGTTATATCCTAGATAACAAGATTGCAAACTCACATTTCAACTCAATACGGTACATTGTGTTTTTTTTACTATTACTATTATTCATTTTTTTTAAATAAAATACGGGGATTATTGTCCGAGACCTGTAAACCAGTGTAGGCGTCTGTCAAATTGCTTCGTCATGGCCGTCTGCTGTTTCCGGTTTTTTTTTTTCCGCGAACCACCGCACCTTGACCAATGACATAAGTGGGATTCTGTATTGTCACGCTCGTGTATGAGTATGTTATCATCTGATTGGTCACAGAGCAGAACAGGGAATTACCCTATTGGTAATATCCACGGATTACAATTCAACCATAGCTTCGATTTTATGTCCAATTAAAAGAATCAATAATAACATTATACAGTAACAAAATTATTTAAAAGACAATCATTTTACTCACCAAAACTTCTGAGAAAACTTAATTTTCGAGTGCGTCTCCTGTGCGTTGTTCGTCGCTGCCATATACGCATGCGTACGTGGACCCCATCTTTGACAGCTAATAACGGCAATTCTACTAGGACAAACTTAATTTGTGCCCGATTATCAAACTGAGAAGTCATTATTTTAACACACTGTATATACAATATGAAGACATTAATCAAAGCTTAGTAAACCATATACTGTAAACAACATTGATCTGTCATAGGCATAGGTTTGTTTAAATAGCTACATTTAATGCTTTGTTTTTTGTGGCCAGTATCATCCAACATAAAAGAGTTTGACATTTAAAAAAAGGAATGATGACATAATTCCTTTTGTTTGTTACAATGCAACATTCATGTGAAAAGCTTTCCTTTTCTTTTCCTCTGGAAAAAAGCTTCTTTTTTTTTAGTGAACATTGTTCTTCTTTCTCTGTGTCCTTCCTTCAGATCCAGCAGGTCACAGAGTACACCTACCAGTGGCCACGTTTGAATAAAAAGTGCTTTGATTCTTCCATCCCTGTTTTGCGTGGGATGTTCTTTGGTTGGATTGTTCTGGTCCAAACACATCGGTCATATCTTGAAAACTCTGCCTTTGATTTTTTGACTCTAACGCTGAAGCGCAGTGACCATGGTTTATGCTGTCTTGGACTACCTTGGAGTGTGGGAGGATCTAGGGGGATCCATGCAGAAACAAAGACAACTATACCGCTGCCTCACAGAGAGATGGCCCCTGGCCAGGTTAGAAGCCAAGACCTTCTGTCTGTAAGGTCGCAGTGCTGAGCGCTCAACCACACTGTGACCTGAAAAGCAGTGACTGGAAGATGAACAACTCATGCTCAGCAACAACACTGAAGTCAAGGACATGTCTGTTAGCTCGTCTGGCTGACACTTTAAATGTGTGGGGATTCCAGGGAGAGAAACCCACGTATACATCGTCCAGTCTACAGTACGCACAACTGGAGTGGAACTGCAGGAAGTTGACTCGAGACGATAATGATCAACATCATCTCACAGGAAATTGGTTTTTGCTTTCATAAAAACAAATGTCAAGAGCTGATTTAACTGTGCTGAACACAAAACTGCCTTATGTTGCTCTAAATTATCAAAGTTGTCTTTCTTCAGTGGATAATACACACACACACACACACACGCACATTCTATTTTTGTTCTTGAAATACAGACTTGAGACTGTGGGCATCTTAAGTTTAAATTGTATTTTATATTCATTGCTGTCTCTATGTTATTGTGTATATTAGAGCTGCAGCTGTACATTATTAGCTTTGATTCGATTTGTTTAAATGATTATTTAAGCAGACTGGAAGAAAATACTAGTGCAAAGGCAAAAAGGACAAACAACACGAACAACGATACAAAAGTAGAAATATCTGTAAATATAACAATAACATGAGAGTACCTATCAAAAGTAATGTTTTTATCGTGTTAAAAACACATCAGGAAATCAAATATTTTTCTTAACTGATTGGAGTCAATTAATCGTTTTAGCTGTGCTCCATGAACGTAGATAAGACATAGCTGTTTGGAACTTCAACACTGGCAGCAGACGGGACAGAAATAGAGCCGTAAAGAACAGTAGAAGTGTGGAGCTATTTTCAGAGAAATGCTTTTGGCCACCGTAATGGCAGCCTCTGTTCTTCCTATCTCCATTCGAAAAATGACCGTTTGAATAAGACCTCTCAGAGGACAGCACAGAGTGGAGTATGCCAGACGGAAAATTGTTTTTGAGAAGGTGGGATGACATAAAAGGACTGGAAAGAGGCAAAAAGAGAAAGAGCGGCTGAGATCAACAAGGTGAGTGACAAAAAAATGATCCAAAAAAGAACACCTGCGTCTTTAACCTTGTTGAGTTTGAAGAATGAGGAGCCAGTGCTTACTGAAAATCTGCAAAAGAACTAATACGTGACAAACTGGGTCTGAGGAGAGGCTGGAGTTGAGGGAGCAGAGCCTGAAGCTGCAGAGGAAGTGGACAAGAAGAATGGGCATCAGTGAGCGTCACGATGTTTCACTAAATGTTACTGAGATGGATGGAGTCCATCACAGGGCCTTCAGCTGATGCTCATCACTCACATGGGCTTCAGGCTAATTCAACTTCTTCAACAGTTTGTTGTTGTATTTCACAACCATAGGACTTTATTTTGACTATTTAGCAAAAACAAAACAGGAAGGACACAGATATGTGGACATGGGGGACATTTTTAAGTGGGACAAGCTTCACGTGTCTCAGTATCAAATTGTTCTTATTATTTCTTTAATATTACATTTCTGTCACTTTTTTTTACTATTTTACCTAAAAGCACAACAGCCGCCTGTTCTCAGCCTGTTCTGCAGCTCACAGACACAATAGCACCATCAACAGCATCAACAGAACAGATGACTGCATGCCAAACACACACCACCAGGATTAGATGATGCAGTATAAATACTGAGAAGAGATTATAAGATGTGTGGAAAAATATTTCCCTGTTCTGCCTCTCAACCTGAGTGGCAGGTACAGATCGAAAGGATTTAGCGGACAGACAGGCAAAGGTGAGTGATTATGAAATATAGATGTGGAAATTGATCTGTCTACATTTTATACGAACAACATCTGGATGTCACTGCGGATCAGTCGGGTGAACCAGTGATAGGAAGGAGCTGCAATAAAAGAAAGTGACACTATAATTTCAGAGCGGTGTCTTGAACTATTGAATTAGATCTTCCATTTAACCGTTAGCTTTGGGCTGCTAACAGGTTGGACGTGGCACCCAGTGGTCAACCTCTGACTTTTGATTTTTTTCCCCATAATGTATGTAACCATTTCGACTGAAGAGCATCTTTCCTTATTCAGCACCTCTCCTGTTAGCTGATCAAAGGTTTTTGTGTGGGATGAGGATACGAGGCAGATTCCTGAAATCTTTTGGTGACTGCAGGATAAACTTTGGTCCAGTGAGGAGAGAAGAACAGCCCCCTCTGAACCCATGGCCTTTTAAATATGTTCAGCTAACGTTTGAATCTTTTAGCACAACACAAGGTCAACAATGCTCATGTGTGTTTAAGAGCCTGTGGGGTTTCCATTACATCTTTGTTGAACCGCCGCGTCTGAGATGCCTTGTGTGGTAATATTTACACAGCGGCTGTTGAACTACCATTCTACTGCAGTATTGATTTTTTCCCCTCTTATTTTCTGGTTTCATATACTGTACAGACTGTACAACAAATGTTTAAAAGGTGCGTTCCACAGCTACTCACAAAACTCACACCGTTATGGAGAAAAGGAAATAAAATTACAAATCAGTGCAAATTCCTCACTGACACAAATAAATACGATAATAACATTTGAAACCTCAAGATTCAATGTATTGTTCCTAAAACATTTAAAGACAGTTCAGACATTTACCCATTTTATTTGTATATATAATAATATGATATATTATATATAATAATGTATATGTTTATATGTATGTTTGTGATATTTAAATAGGGGAAATTTGATTTAATTAATAAACAGTATATTTCTGGAAGAAAATAAATGGGCACGTGCCTAGGATCAAGCACTGGGCCTGTGGAAAATGTTATTTGATCTCCATGTCTGGTGGATTAACAACGAACGTTACATATGAACAGCGCTTCATTATTTCATTTTCACCATGTGCAGTCTTTGAACGCTGCAGCTAGATGATTCATTTATCTCCTTTTTCAGAGGCTGAAGCCGGACCCTCGGGAGAGGAAAAGCAGAAGTAGTAATGTTTGGCTTAAAGTCAAAGAGCAGCGGAGACAAGGAAAAAGTAGCTCAATTGAGCCAGATCAGTAATTGCCACTGAGCTGAGCTGTCAGTACAGCCGGCAGCCTGAGTTTATTGCATATCGCCTGAAAAAAAAAAAAGAACCAAAAAAATAAATAAATAAACAGAATGTTTTGAAGCAAAAATGTTGTGCTGGAAGATAGGAATATAACGACTTAATATCAAGGGAAATGAGACGGAACATGAAAATGTTATTAAAAACAGAGCTTGATTTTTTTTGTGATCTTATGTTGGTGTTAGTATCTATATATGTGTAGAGTGTGTATCCTGCTCAGGCAGTGGAGGCTACAGGTTTAGCTCCATGGAATCTAAGACTTGACTGTATCATCCTGAAAACATCCCTCCATTACCTACATTAAGGTTTGAACGATTGAACTTGAAGATTTTGAACAGTTTTATGTGTGGCCCAGTGACCTATTGGTGACCTGTCCAGACCCCGTCCTCACCAAGGGACCAAGGGATCGGCTCCAGCTCTCACTCAAAGTGGTCAATGACTGACCCTGTTCACACTCTCACAACTCATGACATCATTGTGTATAAATATATACAGATATATACATATATATTTGCATCAGATGTTTCCTGCCACTTTTAATGTACACAATTTGATTTATTATTATTATTATTTTCCAATATAAATAGTAAAAATATTGAATCGGCCGCCAAGGTATCCAAACACATCTGTCAAGTCCCAGGATGATGAAACTAACCACACCACCATTAAAACATCAACAATCCAAGCCCACTGCCCACTGGGTGTTGATGGAGCTGTACATTTGCAAAGCCGAGGCCTGAGGTCAAAGACAAGGCGACCGACAGACGGCTAATCTGCAGAAAATACACACATACACAAGAGTGTTCCTGGAAGGGTAACTGAGTGGCCGTGTGGTCTTTCTTCCTCTGCTTTCACCCCTCTGGCATGTAACCCCCACCTTTTCCATCAGTGCCCCAGACACACACACATATGAACACACACACACACACACACTCACCAAATGGTTATCAGATATAGGATCAACCATTTCCAAAGTCAACAGATGTGAACCAATTGAGGACGGATTGCAGACACACGTCTGCTCTTTCACGAATGTAATGCAATAAGAGCGGGTCTGCACTCACGGGAATATGTAGGAAACTTTTTTTATAGTCTGATTAGTCGAATCTGCTGAAGTGAAAAAAAAATACTTTTACTGCAGCAACAGTGCCGAGCAGTATGAAGATTTAAAGCCCAATATTGGTATTTTTGTCAATTCTGAAGCAGATGTTGCCTTCACAGCTTTATAAAACTCAGCTGCTGTTCCACTTCTTTTTATTATCACTATAAATTTCATCATGATTATCATTATTGTAGTTGCCAAAAAAAATTGTCACAGCCTGAACGTTGATTTACAAGGATTATGTAGATAAAGTAATTAATCATCTGCATAGAGACTGATTTTACGTCACGTGTTGTTTGGCATCGCTTCAATATTTTGTCTTTGTGCTTCATAGCGAAAAGCAACTGTGAGTGTGAATACTACACAAAGGTAGTAGAAGAATTTGATTTGTCTGAGTCCAAGTTTTTTTGAGAGTGATAAATAAATGAAGAGT